AAACAAGTCCAAGAGAGCCAAAATATGGTCTTGAATATATCCCTCCTGAATTTAGAGATCATCTAAAGAATAGATTTGATGCATTGAACATCAATGACCGAAAACCAGAATTGTGGGAGGATATCAAGAACATTATCCATGAAGAAAGCAAAAGATCACTAGCAAAATGAGAAGAAAAGAGAAGACCAAAATGGATGACAGAAGAGACTCTGAAACTTGCCCTTGAGCGGAGAGTAGCTAAAGCCACTAATGACAAGATAAAAGAGCTGAACAGAAGATTTCAAAGAGCAGCTCAAGCCGGCAAAACCAATTACTATAATGAAATGTGCGAAGACTTGGAGTTTGAAAACCAAAAGGGAAGAACACACTCAGCATTTCTGAAGCTGAAAGAATTGAAGAAAAGATTTAAGCCTCAAGTTGCAATATTGAGAGATTCTATGGGCAAAATATTGAATGATGCAGGAAACATCAAGACAAGATGGCAGGAATACACAGAATCACTGTACCAGAAAGAACTGGTTGATCTTCATCCATTTCAGGAAGTGGCATATGATCTAGAACCAATGATACTGAAGGAAAAAGGCAAAGCTGCAATGAAAGAACTGGCGAAGAACAAGGCTCTGGGAATTGATGAAATACCCATGGATATATTTCAACAAACGTATGCCCCATTGGAGGCACTCACTCATTTATGCCAAGAGATTTGGAAGACAGCCACCTGGCCCCTGACTGGAAGAGATCCATATTTGTACCCATTCCAAAGAAAGGTGATCCCACAGAATGTGGAAATTATTGAACAATATCATTAATATCACACGCAAGTAAGATCTTACTCAAGATAACTTAAAAACGGTTCCAGCAGTATATTGACAGAGAACTTCCAGAGGTGCAAGTTGGATCCAGAAGAGGACATGGAAAAATGGATATCATAGCTGTTGTCAGATGGATCTTGGTTCAAGGCAAAGAATACCAGAAAGATGCTTACTTGTGTTTTATTGACTATGCAAAGTCACTTGATTGTGTGGATCATGACAGATTATGGATAACATTGAGAAGAATGGGAATTCCTGACCACTTGATTGTGCTCATGAGGAACCTGTACCTTGACCAGGAGGCTGTCGTTAGAATGGAACAAGCAGACACTACATGGTTTAAAATCAAGAAGGGAGTGTGTCAGGGTTGTATCCTTTCCCCACACTTATTCAATCTATATGCTGAGCAAATAATCCAAGAAGCTGGACTATATGAAGAAAACTGTGGCATCAGGATTGGAGGAAGAATCATTAACAACCTGAGATACGCAGACGATACAATTTTGCTTGCTGAAAGTGCGGATGACTTGAGGCACTTACTGATGAAGGCTGAAGAATACAGTATGCAGCATGGATGACGTCTCAATATAAAGAAAACAAAAATCCTCATAACTGGACCAATGAAGAGCATCACAAAGATTGAGGTTGTCAAAGAATTCACGTTGCTTGGTTCTACAATCGATGCCAATGGAAGCAGCAGTCAGGACATGTAGAAGACATGTAGCTTTGGAAAAGTCAACCACAAAAGAACTGTTTCAAGTGCTGAGGAGCAAGAAAGTCTCCTTGGGGACTAAGGTGCACCTGACACAAGCCATAATATTTCCAATCATCTCGTATGCATGTGAGAGCTGGACAATGAATAAGGAAGACCAAAGAAGAGTTGATGCTTTTGAGTTGTGGTGCTGGCGAAGAATTCTGAAAGTACCATGGACTGCTAAAAGAACTAACAGATCTGTCCTGGAGGAAGTGCACCCGAAATGCTCCTTGGAAGCTAGAATGGCCAGACTTCGTCATGCTTGGTAGGGTGGAGGGTCGACAAAAGAGGGGGAGGCCTTCAATGAGATGCATTGACACAGTGGCTGCAATGATGGGCTCAAGTACAACAGGGATCATGGAGCTGGTGCGGGATCCGGCAGTGTTTCATTCTGCTGTGCATGGGTCACTATGAGTCGGAGATGACTCAACAGCAACTAACAACAACAGCCCCTTGGACTAATTGTTTCCATGTGTCTCTGGTTTTCTTCATTCTTCTTTGCTCTGGATGAGGGGAGACCCATCATTACATCTAGATGGCCACTTGCAAGCTTTTAAGATCCCAGTCACTACTTGCCAAAGTAGGATGTGGAACAATGTTTCTGTGTAGCATGGTATGCCAATAGAGCTTGATGTCCCCTGTGACCATGGTGCTGAGCCCACAGGTCCAACTACTCACTCCCTCTGGGTAGCTGGCTGTGCCCAAGAAGTGACTACAAACTTGTCCCTTGTCAGCTCTACTATATACCTAGAAATTATTACACAACATACAAATACACTTGTTCAAACACTGTCTGCCAACCCTGTACATGGTCATGAGCATACTACCCCCTGCATAGACATACCTAATCATTCAGCCTGTCCACCCATCTGTCCACCTGTAGATCAATTTTTGCCATTATTAATGACACAGTATTGTATATGCAAAATGGTTCATCTTTGTTGTCTGTACCTCCTATGAACCTCTCTACATCTTCCTCTTCCTCAGTGCCACTGTGTTGATCACTCACATTTGGTACATTGCCCTTCTCTTCAGCCAAATCAGTACTTGTCCCAACCTATCTAGCAGTGTTCTCTCCACTCCCCTCCCACCTCTGGTAACCAAAAAGAAAATTTCCTTCCATACATAAACCTTTCCTTGCCTTTTTTACAATAATGGACTAGTATAATATTTGTCCTTCTGTGAGTGACTTATTTCACTCAGCATAATGCCCTTCAAGTTCATCCATGTTATGCGGTGTTTTGCAGGTTCTATTCATTAAGGTTGCATAGTATTCCATTGTGTGTATGTACTATAGTTTGGTTATCCATTCTTCTGTTGATAGGCATATAGGTTGTTTCCCAAGAATGTGATTCTTATCATTGTTTGAGGGATCATAGTTTTTCCCTCACCTAGTTATAAGGTTTGGGCTGAGATGGAAAAAAAAAAAAAAAAAAAGAACACCTAATAGACACATTGTTTATTCCTTTCTTTACTGTTAATGAAGCTACTGTCAAAACTTGGATAGACTCAGGAGCAAAGCATGCTGGGAACTCAGCAAGATAGGCCAGAGAAGTAGGAGAGGATGCCAGGACCAAGTGAGCCAGGGAATAGTGAACTTTTTCTGAGTCCCTAGGAAAATAAGACCAAGATATACATATTTTCATTTGTTTTTGCAGTATTATCCCTATGTGTAGGAGCCCTGGTGGCACTGTGGTTAAAGCATTGGCCTGCTAACCAAAAGGTCAGCAGTTTGAACCCAACAGCTGCTCCATGGGAGGACAAGGCAGTCTGCTTCTGTAAAGATTTACAGCCTTAGAAACCCTATGGGGAGGTTCTACTCTGTCCTGTAGGGTCACCATGAGTTGGAATGAACTTGATGGCAGTGGGTGGTGTATGGTGCTGGTCCCTATATACATATGTGTGTAAAATCAGTATGTAAAATCAATTCAAAGTGGCTTAAATTTGAGAGTGAAAATGGTTTGTTTTGTTTTTGTTTTCAGGCCAAGGGAATCTACAATTTGAAGCAAGTACTAGGTTAGTACTGATTTTTTTTCTTTCGCTTTTTAAAGTGCCAACTGCTACGGATTGTTCACGTTGATTCTACGTGATTGCTTTTATTGATTTTTTTAAATACTCAGCTTATTAGAAGGGATTTCCAGTTTTTGAAAAAATATCAGTTCCCTCTCCCCACTACCAGCCTAGGCAATGTTTTCTAGTGCTGCCTGCTGTATTGCCAGGTGAGGTCAGACATGGCATTTTGAAACTTCCCTAATTGCCCTGGCTTCTGTCTGTTTTCTTGAGTTTTCATCTGAGGACCTCCAATTACTCCTGTTTTCATGAGATTTCCCTGCCTACTTTGCTGAATAGGCAAGTGGACCCTTTCATGCTAACTCGTTTGGCTTCCTCACTTTCCCTCAGATCATCCCTCTTCCTCCCTTCATTCCTTCTTGTCTCAGATGAAGATACACTCACACCTCTTTCCAGGTTAAGTCCTCATAGGAGCTCCTTACTCAATCGATTCCTGCCCACTTATAGACTTTCTCCTTCCTTCATTCCTCTCCCTGCCCAAGACACTCAAGAGGCACTGATAAATGTTTGTTGACTGAACCCATAGACTGAGACCCAGTTCATGTAAAGGAGTCTGGTTCATTTTTCTAGGCTTATTTGGCCTAATTCTAATGGAGCCACCCAAGGCTGTCACTCAAAGAGATAATAGAGGTGGGAAGAGGTGTGAGGCTCTGGAAGACAGCTGAATCTCTCTTGTTCCTCTCTGAACCTACACTTATATGGAATATGTGTATTGTAGCATTTAATATGCTGTATTATAATTATGTGATGTGTTTAAGATTTTCTCACTACTAGACTCTGACTTCCACTAGGTGTGGAGGTTGCCTTATTCAATTTAGCTTCCCTCAGGCCTCATATAGTACCTGGCACTTAAACAGATGCTCAGTGAATGTTTAGTGAGTAAACAAATGAAAGAACTCATTGAATAATCAAATCAGGCTAGCAAACTACTCAGCAAGCAAAGCCAGAGGTGATGAAGTTTAACGTCAGGCACAACTTAGTCATCTTTGGACCTCCGATGCCTAGCACAGTGTTTATTCATTGAATTAATCCAACCCAAAAGAGTGAGTATAAAGTTGGAATCTCAGGCTAGGAAAGATGGAAGGAAGGAGCTTTCACTGAGCCAGTGAAAGCATCTTCAGAAGTGAAAGGATAAAAGTGGATTCCTCCTCTTCCTCATCTCTCCCATGTTAAGATTTGCAGCCAGTAGAAGTTAACTGTTTAATCCAGTAAGTGATGACCCTTAAACACTACCTGTTGCATGCCTCTGACTCTGCAGAGCCTGACGTAATCTTAGACTGAAGGCAAGGAGGAGGATGAAGCAGACCCTTGGAGCAGGTCCCAGAGATAACCTGGTAGGGAGGAATGCAGGTGCCATTCTTTCCAGTGACACAATGTTCATTATGTTCTTCTAAAGCAAAGACAGCGGAGAGGAATTTGTACCTTGGATTGAAGATCCAGAAAGAGCTACTGGCAGCAAGGAGGATCCAGTCCTCAGCACCTGTGGGATTAAAGGTAGGAACCATTGGGAGAGTGAAGCATGGGAGCAGTGGAGTGATACCTGCTGCTTAGAAACTGAGAAAGACATCACATGAGGCTTAGCCCTTCCTTAGTTATGGGTGGGAGAAAGAGCAAAGGATGTATAACAACTGTTGTTGTTAGAAGGAACCCTGGTGGCTCAGTAGTTACATGCTTGGCTGCTAATGAGAAGGTTGGTGGTTTGAACCCACCAGCTGCTCTGTGCAAGAAAGATGAGGCATTGTGCTTCCTTACAGATTTACAGCCTTGGAAACCCTTTGGGGCAGTTCTACTCTGTGCTATAGGGTACTGTGAGTCAGAATTGACTCAATGGCAGTGGGTTTTGGTTTTGGATTGTTGTTAGCTGAGTTGTTTTCCACTCTTAGCGACCCCGTGTGGCAGTGTAGAACTACCTCATAAGGTTTCCTAGTCAGTAATCTTTACAGGCCACCACTTGTCTGTCAAGTTCATCATACCGTGATAGCTTGCATGTTGCTGTGATGCTGGAAGCTATGCCACTGATATTTGAAATACAAGCAGGTCACCCATGGTGGACGAGTTTCAGCAGAGCTTTCAGACTAAGACAGACTAGGAAGAAGGAAGAGTGGTCCACTTTTGAAAAAAAATTAGCCACTGAAAACTTTATGAATAGCAGTGAAACATTGTCAGATATAGTGCAGGGAGATGAGCCCTTCAAGATGAAAGTCACTCAAAATATGACTGGGGAAGAGCTGTGTTCTAGTTACCTAGTGCCACTCTAACAGGAATATACCACAAATGGGATGGCCTTAACAAACAGGAGTTTATTCTCTTACAGTTTGGAGGCTTTAAGTCCAAGTTCAAAGTGCCAAGCTCTAGGGGCTGGGTGAAAGCCCCTCAGCCTTGGGCTTCAACTCTGCCTCCAGCTCCCGGCCAACTGAAGCTAGAGGCTTTTCTTCACTCAGACAGCTGTTAGCTGCTGAGGCTTCCAGGCCCAAGGTTGACAAATAAAAAGTCCCGACGTTACCAAACCACATGGCAGGCTATTAATTCAAGTCCATTGTAAGACCCCAGGTCCGCAGATCATGGCAGGCTGCTGAACAATGACACAGCTGCATGCAGTGTTGAAGGTGCCATAAGCTAGAGACCATTCCCAAAGCTGCTTCTTATATATGGGAAGCAAACCACATACCCAAAGCAGCTACCTAGCTGCTTGTGGTAGATCTCACTAGTCTCATCATGGGGAATAACTACCACCAGCTGCCTCAGCCACTCGGCCAGGCCCAGCCATGTTGACACACAAACATAACCACCACAAGCTGCCTCCTCAAAGTGGAGGCAGCCTTAATGACAAGAATGGAATAAACCTTTTGGCATCTTCATTTGCTGATGTGGCACAACTCAAAATGAAAACAAACAAACAAACAAACAAAAAACACCTTCAAATATCCATTAAAAATTGAAACATGGAATGTATGAAGTATGAAACTAGCAAACCTGGAAGTTGTCAAATATGAAATGGAACCCATGAAGATCAATATCCAAAGCATTAGTGAGCTGAAATAGTCTGGTATGGGCCATTTTGAATGGGACAGTCACACGGTCTTACTATGCTGGGAATGACAAATTGAAAAGGAATGATAATGCATTCATCATCAACAAGAACACTTCAAGATTTATTCTAAAGTATGATACAGTCAGTGATAGGATAATATCTACAAGGGAGACCAGTTAATACGACTATTATTCAAATTGGTGCCACCAAAGGTGAAGAAATTGGAGATTTTTACCAACTTCTGCAGTCTAAAATTGACTAAACATGCAATCAAGATTTACTGATAATTACTAGTGATTGGAATGCAAAATTGGAAACAAAGAAGAATATCAGTAGTTGCAAAATATGGCTTTGATGGAAATGACCTGGAGATCACATGACAGAATTTTGCAAGACCAATAATTTATTTATTGCCAATACCTTTTTTCAAAAGCACAAACAGTGACTATACATGTGGACCTTGACAGATAGAATACACAGGAATCAAATTGATTATATCTTTGGAAAGATAAAATATAGAAGCTCAATATCATCAGTCAGAATAAGGCCAGGAGCAGATTGTGGAACAGACTATCAATTGCTCATATGCAAGTTCAAGGTGAAGCTTAAGAAAATTAAAACAAGCAACACAGACCCTCCTCAACAAAGAAAAGAAAAAACAATTGACAGAAATACAGAAGATAATCCTGGAACCCTGAGCTTTGAAAGGAACTATACAGAAGTGGATTAGACACCAACTAGTGGAAAAACCTGAATGAAAACAGGACCCAAGAACAGGCTCTTTTTGCCAGGGTCAGCAAGGACATATGAGAGGCTGACAAAGGAAAGGAGACAGGTGGTGTGTGTATAA